GATGTGTTCCCAGTATGAGTGATGATGTGTTCCCAGTATGAGTGATGTGTTCCCAGCATGACCAACATGAGTGAACAGTGCTGGTGCTCCAGGGAACTCTTCAGTAACTGTATGTGTCAGCAGGTTTGAGCTGATGGAACAGGTTCCACACGGAGCTCAGAATCTGACTGTTTCCATGAGGAGCAGCAGAACGCTCCTGCTTTGACACTCCAGTTGTTTCTCCATTTGGTGCTTGATGTTTCAGTGCAGAGAAGTGACGGGTCATCTTCAGCTTCCTGTTGCAGAGGACACGCAGAATGAAATGAAGGACTGACTTTTATTTGTGTTAATGTTGAAATCAAGTGAAGGAGCTGAAGGATTCGTTTGAAGCAGCACGAGACCCTTTAAAACCGTTTCTTTGCAGTGGGAACGCTGCTTTTATTTCTGTCTGCAGCTAAAATGAAGCGTTCGTACATTCATCCAGATGATCTCCTCAGTTTGAACGCGTGCGTGTTTGGTTGTGCACTTCTCTTCAGCATCAGCTGCACTCTGTCTGTCATTGCCAGCGGTTGTAAACCAGAGGAGCTTAAACCTTCTGAAGGGGGTTCTGTGGAAATGAGCAGTTAATATCTAACCTGCTTTACTCCCGTTTGTGGCTCGGTACTGGACTCACCTTCCACAATCGTCAGACTCCGCCGGCTCCGACAGGGACCACTTGAAGGAGAACCTCAAGGTGTGACTCACTGTCCGAAAATATGTGCAGTCCAGGCAGCAGCAGGTCCGGTCCAGACCAGGCCCAGCCCCGGACAGGAACCACTGTCTGCCTCGGAGTCCTTAACCCGTTTGTCAGGACCTGCTGGAGACCAACCCAAAGTTTATTTTTGTTCTGGTTCACTTTCTTCAGGAACGTGATCTGAAACCGACATCGTAAACCATCTTCACTTAACTTAAACAATAGATTTTAAATGTTGGACATTCGAGCAGCAGCGGTCCAGCTTGGTCTTCGCTGCATTCGGACCGGTCAAAACGAACGATGTCGTTCAAAAAGCCATGTGCAGCAGGTAAGACATTAACTGTTCACAGATCGTCTACAGAGCCCAACTTCAAAAGACCTGCACAGTTTTCAGCAGGTTCCATCGCAGGACTTATTCTGCTGAACGTTCATCAAATGTTTGTCTCTTCTGTGAACAAGCACAAGATGAATCAAATGCCACATTTCCTTCAACCCGATGCTCCTTTATTCCAGAGAAAAGCATGAAGCAGTTGCTTCAGCTGACACTCGCTCTGCATTTCTTTAAACTCACTTTGATCCAAATCAAAGCGTCCCACTGCAGGTCGGTGGACAAAACTAGTTGGTTTTTATTTTTATCCTGCCACTGGTGTATGATGATGTTTTCAGAAAGAATAAAACTTTTTTACATTCTCAAATGTTTGAAGTGTTGCCATTTTAGTTTTCTGCAGGAACCCCACGTAATGAAGACCATCCTCTGAGCTCCCGCGAGCCAAGAGATTCAGTGCGTGTGGAAATGGAACGTCAGCCGGACTGGTTTGGACTGGTTTGCACTCCTGCAGTCTGATCTCTGAGAATACGTGTCCAAACACCTCCTTCCTGCTGATGACTGAAACTGAACGAGCAGTTTTCAGTTTGAAGGCTTTCACATCCGCGATGTGCTTAGTTGTGGCGAACATTAAAACGATCACAAGTACCAGGGAGATTCATCTCAGTCGTGCTTTGACTGTGCTTAGTCCAAACGACGCAAGAAATGTAACATGAAAAAAACTAAAACCTAACTCAACAAACCAAAACGTGTTACGAACAAAGTAAAAACTAAAACTTACTCAACTCTGAAAAAATCTAAATGTAACTCGGAATCAAAGAAAAAGCCCAACTTGGAGGGCTAAAATATCTCTCGAAAAAAAAGTAATGCAGAAAAAAAAACTAACTAAAAAAAAAAACTTAACATGAAATATCCCCAAGATGTAACGAAAAATACAAAAACCTAACTTATAAAAACGTGTAACTCAAAAATGTAACTTGAAAAATAAACGGTAATGCAAACAAAAACAAAAGCCTAACTCGACGGAAAAAAACGTGAAAAATCCCCAAAATGTAACGTGAAAAAAGCAAAAACATACCATGATAAAACTAAAAAGATAAAACTTAATTTAAAAAAAAAAGCAAAAACTAACTCAAACCCAAAACGTAACTTGGAAAAATTAAAAACCTAACTTAAAAAATACTAAAACTTAATTTGAAAAAAATTCCAAATGTAACTCAAACACCCAAAGTGAATCTTGAAAATAAATGTAACGTGCAAAAAACTCAAAAATATTCAACAAAATAAAGGAACGTCACCAAAAAAAGTAACGTGAACAAAACCAAAAGCCTAAAAAGCCCAAACGACGTGAAAAATCCCCAAAATGTAAAAATGTACTGTAGGAGAAAAAATGACAGCTGTAAAAAAAACAAAGTCTTGTACGACTTTATTCTCGTAAATTTATGGATTTTTTTTTTCCTTAGCGTGGCAATGTAATTTTAATTTTTTAGCATGGCCCTAAAGCTCCGTCGTACGAACGAGTCCAAAACGTAACTTGAAATAACCCTGAACTTAAGAAAAAAGTCAACGATGTAACTTGAAAAAAGCAAAAATGATAAATGCAGGAGTAAATTAAAGGCCTAGCATTCCTTGAAGGAATGCTTGTCACCCGCTGCCTTTCAGGCCAAGAGTTTAAGACTGAGCTCAGCTTTTGGTGAGAAATCGCGATGCGTTGGTCAAATCTGGAAACAATGGCGTCGCAGTGCAGAACCCCTCAGGAGTCGTGGGTAAGAGAGAATCTGTGAACAGCACAGATTCACAGTGCAGCAGGTGTTGTGCCTTGTTTTGTTTTCAGTTTAGATGGGGGAGGACGGAATGAGTCACAGCCTGTGTGCACCGTTGAACCAACAGAGATGGATTCAGACTGTGATTAGGGGATGACTCTCAGCTACCACCACACCACTTCTTAGCTCGGTATCTGTAAAACTCCATGTTCGTGCTGTTTCAGGGCAGCTGGCTGTGCTGGCCATCTTTAAATGGGTCGTCTCCAAAAGTTCCCCAGTTTGGACGCACGTCCAGTGACTACTTTCTGAGAGTTGTGAAAGTCTGTGATATCTTGGCAACAGATAGACGCCCAGACACAAGTAAAACCGTTACAGTGCTTATCTGGAGATAATCCTCAGATAATGTTATTAACTTACATTTTATATGCACTCGCTGGTCATCAAATTAGAATATCGTGAAAAAGTTGATTTATTTCAGTAATTCCATTCAAAAAGTGAAACTTGTATATTATATTCATTCATTACAAACAGACTATTTCAAATGTTTATTTCTTTTAATGTTGATGATTATAACTGACAACTAAAATTCAGTATCTCAGAAAATTAGAATATTGTGAAAAGGTTCAGTATTGGACGCCTGGTGCCACACTCTGATCAGCTGATTAACTCAAAACACCTGCAAAGTCCTTTAAATGGTCTCAGTCTAGTTCTGTATGTTACACAATCATGGTTAAGACTGCTGACTGGACAGTTGTCCAAAAGACGATCATTGACACCTTGCACAAGGAGGACAAGACACAAAAGGTCATTGCTAAAGAGGCTGGCTGTTCACAGAGCGCTGTGTCCAAGCACATTAACAGAGAGACGAAGGGAAGGAAAAGATGTGGTAGAAAAAAGTGTACAAGCAATAAGGATAACTGCACCCTGGAGAGGATGGTGAAGCAAAACCCATTCCAAAATGTGGGGGAGATTCACAAATGCCCCATTTGCACTGTTCCTACTCAGCCCTCCACGAGAAAACACGATATTCCACAGCACTTTTTAGCTGATTCTGGACCTTGTTTGGTCCCTGCTTCTCTGGTGGGACCGTGCGAGCGGAGTTGGGACCAAAACGCAGGACACTGATTGGTCAGGGGGCGGAGTCACTGGATCTCAGAAACTTTTCACAGATCCTCCATTTGTAATTTCTCGGAAAGAGGAGCAGCGGCTGGATCTATTTTTAAGATTTTAAAAACAATAGTGACGTCGTGTTTAATTCTGAAGTCCAGGCGTTTTTTTGTGTTTGATGATCGACGACATAATTGTAGCGAGCGGAGTCACCACGGAGGATCATACGAGCTGCCGAGCCGTTGAAGCAGGCGAGGCCGGACCCCGAGTCCCGGTCTCGCCTGCTCACAAAGGCCGGATTCAGAGCCCTGGCAGGCGGGAGGACCGGAACGAAGGGTGGAAACTTTTTTTTGTTGTTTTTTTACATTTTATGTATAAAAAATGTTTTTTTTAAACCGTGAAGATTAAAAATAAACGGTGCCGGCTTTATCATGAAATCCTGTTTTCACTTTGACTTTATTAACTAATCTGTTAATTAAAGTTAACTCAGCTGAAAAATCATAAAAAGACTAAATTATTGGCTCTCAGGAACATTTCCCTCCAACATGTTTAAAGAAGAGACTTTGGTTCAACTTTATTCTAACCCACAGATGAACAAATCACAAAACAAGAATTACACTTTAAATCACTGTTTGATCGTTCCTGTTGCTTCTAATGAGGAGTGACAACTGTTTCTTTCTTATTTCACAAAGTCAGTAAGGTGAGAAACAACACTGATCATCACTGAAATCACTCAAATAAAATCTGTACACAAGAAACTAAACCACATGTACAAAAACATCAAGTGATGAAGAAAAATATGGAATTTTAAATATCATTTTAAATATAAATGTTTTTGTAGGATCTGGTTCATCAGATTGAATTCAGTTTATTTATAAAGCACCAAGTCACAACAGAATCGCCTCAGGCACTGAACAGAAACATTCAAATGTAAAAATAATAATTTCACATGATTTATCTGAGGAGCAGACTGATTTGAGTTCATCTCATCACAGAACTCTCCCTCCATGAACTAAAGTCCATTCATTAGCAGGATTTTGGGTTCTGGACACGCCTCCAGAACCGGTCCTGAAGCGCAGTGCAAATCAGGCTGAGGTGAGCAGAGCTGAGAAGGAGCCGTGCAAAACGGGCATTAGCTGCTGCTTGGGGCCCCGGGGCCACCAGGGAGCCCCCAAGAGGAAGCGCAGGTTTTAGGACGTTTGTGAAACATTAAGGAAGAAGTAACAAACAGGTCCAATGTGTGGGTAAAGGTTGTTTAATATTTGAAGATCAGCTTTTACAAACTGCATGCATTTACATAGTTTTAAGAACTAATTATTCAACTTTAAATGTTTCTAAACCATTTGTTGTTGATCTTGCATTACAAATTATTTTGAACGTTACTGGTGCAGGTGTTGGGAACCAAAGATAATAAACCAGATGGCACTTTTGTTGTACAATACATTCCATACTGGTGTTTTGTTACTTGTAGTACATGATATATACGTACAGGATAATGTAAACAGGGCTGTCAGAGTTGCAATGAGTTTATGTTATGTGGGTGAATAATCTGATCATCGGACTACTGACTGCAGTAATCCACATGATTAGCAGAAAGAGAGGGCCCCATGGAGGCTTGGGGCCCCATGGAGGCTTGGGCCGGCCCTGCTTGGTGCTGTATAAATAAACTGGATTGAACTGAATTAGATGATGTCATCAAGTACATTTGTTTCTCTTGACTTTCCTACAAAATGTTGAATGGGTTAAAACCTACTTGATGGGTTGACTGCAGCTCATTTAGAACGAAGTTAAAAACAACAGACTACTTGAAATTGAATAAAGTGGCCCACATGCACAGAACGGCCTAAATTGTAGCTGCACATTTGAGCTGTTTTCTGCAAGTCCTAGTGGAAATACAACTTCAACTCCTTCAAAATAAGTGTCCTCAGAAATCTACTTCTGCATATTTGCAGTTTTTCCTCATCCTGTGCTCCTTCAGCTATCGTCTCGTTATTTTTAGCTACAAGCACGTGTCAAACTGTTGAAAGGGGCCAAAATTCACCAGTTGGTCTGAGGCGCACCTGACACCTCGTCTTGGTTGCAGTTTGATCCTCTCACTTCACCTGCTCTAGAAGAAAAATAGTTTTGGCTTCTCTTATCCAGCTGTCCTGTTAATCAGTTTTTAAGCAAAATGAGACAAAATTAAAATATTTAGCATAAAAACATTATTATGGGGGAACAGATTTGACCCACGGGCCTTAAGTGGTTTAAAGGATTTAAACTTTTATCAGCAACGTTGCAGATTTTCGCTTCTGTTTGAAGTTGAACAGGCTGAAGTCCTTCATTTACAGACCGTGTAAAGTTCATTGAACGTGTGCTGAGCAGTCTGCAGCTCACAGCTGACTCTGCAGCAGCAGGACCTGAGCTCAGCAGAACCGAGCCTGCAGACACTCCGTCACACCCTGCGGTGAGTACCGAGCGGGACTGCGAACCAGAACAACCCGGAACAGAAGCGTAAAGGTCGGTGGTGGGCCAGGGGTTTTGGACCATTGAGAAAGGAAAAGCGTCTCTGAGTGGGCGTTTATCCTGGAAGTGGGTGAGAACGTTTTGAAGTGGCTGATTTTTCATTGAAGAAAGAGTGTTTGAAGAAAAGAGACAAGCGGTTTGGCATAAACTGGTTTGTGACTGGGCCAGAATGGCAGCTCAAGTTGAGGAAGATGATGAGGATAGGGATTTAAATGATTGGAGTCAAGTTGTTAGTGGAAGAAGAGGAAGAATCGGGCGAGAAAATGATTGTTTGGTAGGGACACAGGTTAGTAAAAGGACTTTGGAAGAGAATAGTTCAGATGAAGGGACTCCTGTGGTCCGCAAAAATATTGTTAAAGAGGAAATTAAAATTATTCTGAAATTTAAAGAAGAAGACAATAACATACAGCTGGGTCCAATTGCATTATCAAAAGAAATCAAAAAGAAGATAGGAGATATTTCTTTTGCAAAAACACTTAGAGATGGGAGTATACTGGTCATTTGTAAAACTGAAGAACAGAAAAATAAAGCACTGAATATTGAAAGTATTTGTAGAAAAAATGTGAGAGAGAAAAGGATTTTAGGAGAGAAGAAAGTAACGAGGGGCGTGATAACAGGAATACCAGTAAATGAAGATCTAGAAAAGCTTAAAAAGAGCATTCAGGGTGCAGAAGTGAATCACTTAAAAAGATTGAGAACAATAAATGGAGAAAGAACTGAAAGCCTGTCGATAATGATTGAATTTCAAAATAATGTACTTCCAGAGAAGGTTAAGATCGGGTTCATGAGCTTTCCAGTTAGGCCTTATGTCCCTCCCCCACTCAGGTGTTATAAGTGTCAAAGATATGGACACATTGCAGCTGTGTGTAAGGGACGGCAAAGGTGTCCAAATGTGGGGGTGATCATAGATATGAGGAGTGATCATAGATATGAAGAGTGATCATAGATATGAGGAGTGATCATAGATATGAGGAGTGATCA